CAGGGCTATCCCATAGGACCCAGGCCATGGGTCCTATGGGATAGCTTAGTGTTTGAAAAAAAAAAGACAGCTTGTCAATCCTTGTAGGACACCGGCTGGTGTCCTACAAGGTCGACAAGGCCCACCTTGCCGGCCAGGAGGGAATCCTCCTGGCCGGGCGAGGTTGTACAACCTCGTTGACCAGGAGGCAATCCTGGCCGGCGAGGTTGTACAACCTGGTCGACCAGGAGGCAATCCTCCTGGTCAACGAGGTGGTACACACCTAGTCATCATTTTGCTAACGCTATTTTTAATAATCACTTTGGGCATGTCTTGTTATAGCTGCTACCAATTACGGCAATTTCCTTGCAAATGAAACAACCCCCGAGATCACTGAGATTCGGCTCATTCGATGGGGTGTCAGCTTGCTGGGCCTGTTGAGAGACATGCTTGGAAAATTCAATGGTGTGGCTGATATCCATCACCATCTCACAACCCCGGGATTTGAGTTCAAGTTTTACGCAGTCGTCATATTCAGCCAGGTTTGATAGGATTTTGGTCTGGTCGTGTAATTTGTGATTTGTTTGAGTTGCGAGCTTCCCTCATCAGTCTTCGGAAGCCAGGCGACGGTTTGAATCAAGTCTGGGTTGCGTTTGAGTATAGACCGGAGCCAATCCAACAGATTCCTAGCGGCGCGTTCATCATCTATATATTCCCCAGGCAAGTGCCTGGGAGTATGATAAGTGGAGGATTGCACACGTCTTCTCCTGCCATTATTGAAACGCAACTTATATGGAATCACCAAAGATTTAAGATTGAGGATAATGGTCGCAAGTCCAAAGGCCATAGATTGAGCGGACGTGAGATTCTCTAAAACAACTGGGTCATTCTATTGATAACTGGTACCTTACATGAAAGAGACACCCACGAATTACTGGAGAGATGTCATCCGCTTGGTGTATTCGACACGATGCCTGCACCATGTGTGGCCCAGTGCGATATCGATCCGAGCGCAAGTTGAAGACTCATTGGCAGGCATTATTCCGGAGCATCGCCTTTGGGCCACTCCTAGTCCTTCTCTTAATCAAACTGATATGGCAACCACCGATTGGAGTTCTGATGACCAAGATGCTGCTCGCAACAGCTCGGCCAGCAGGCTCAGTTGACCTAGTGTTTTCATACTACAACGAGCCCCTGAGTTGGTTCTTCGAAGCAGTTGATCATGTCCGTAGATTATCTGTCTTATCATTACAAAACCCTTGAGTGATCGTCTATGTCAAACATCCTGAAGTCTCACTGGGCAATATCGCCAATGTGATCAATGCGGATGAGGTGATTCGATTGGACAATGTAGGAAGGGAAGGAGGGACATACTTGACACATATCCTCAAACATTACAATTTGGCGATCCTAACGGATCAACAAGGAAGGGTGATCCAAAGTGGGAAGAGCAACCCAAATATCCTTGAACAAGCCGAATTCGGAGTCGAAAGAGTCCTCAGCTTGCCGGCTATTCATGGGTTAGCTGATCATACGGTCTTCATGCAACCCAAAATTTCTTGGCATTGGATTGCTAAACCTCAGATGGATCTCTTCGATCCTAAATTCAACTGTTTCCTAGACTTGGCAAGCTCTATCCTGAGGGTAATTTCCTTCTGGCTCGTGGGCCAGGATGTACAATCTCGTGACCAGGAGGATTCACTCCTGGCCAGCGAGGTTGTACAACCTCGCCGGCCAGGATTCCCTCCTGGTCGACGAGGTTGTACGACCTTGCCGGCCAGGAGGATTCCCTCCTGGCCGGCAAGGTGGGCCTTGTCGACCTTGTAGGACACCGGCCGGTGTCCTGCAAGGATAGACAAGCTGTTTTTTTTTTTTTTCAAACACTAGTCTATCCCATAGGACCCATGCCTGGGTCCTATGGGATAGCCCTGGTCCTAAACCCATATTAATATGGGTTTAGGACCTGCACGCCAATCTAAAACAATCAACCTTGCTGCAGATTGGCGTGCGCGAGGGGGGTTGGCTTGCGCTTATCAGCCCCCCGCCGTTGGTGCAAAAGTGTGCGCAAAGTCGGTACCTTCTTTCTGATTATAACCCTTTGCCACGTAGCATGCTTTGTACTTGATTGACCCATCATCATTAACCTTCTTAGCAAATACCCAATGTGCACCCAACTTGCATCGATTACTGGGCAGTTTGCGCACCTTCCAAACTGATTTGCATCGTAGGTTTTCCAGCTCCGTATCAACGGCTTTCTTCCATTCGTGTGCATCAGGCAATCTCATAGCAGCTTTGAAGGTTTGGGGAACTGCCATCGATGCATCCGTGCAGTTGGCAAGGCACGAGTCGACAGTTTGTTCTTCAAGTTTGACTCGATCTTCTTCAGTAAAATCCCCCAGACGCATATGTTTCTGTTGAGGGGAACACAGGATGAGTTGCCCGAAGTTCACAGACTAGAAGTCTTGTGACACCTGAGAGTGAGAAAATAATTGGTTTGATTCACTAGAGGGAAAAACTCCAGAAACAATCTAGTATCATTTATATACAGGATTGTTTGTGTTTAGGTTAGAAGCATACATGATAATGCATACATGCATATTATTCCAACAGTTTCATGTCCGTCTGTTGGGTTTGTGTCATGCCTTGGTTGTTGGGGGAGGTGAAGGGAGAGAGTTCTGGCCAAAGTCGGCCCAGGCGGATGATATCAGCTTCTTCGTCTCGGGTATCCAGAAGGTCCATCCTTTTGAGTTGGGGAGGTGGGATACAACTAGTCCCTCTATAGCTCTATTGTCAAGCTTAGTCCGCTTTTCTGGTGCCGTCGTGATGAAAGCCGTGGAGCCAAAGACTCGCGTTTGATCTAGTTGGGGTTTGTCGCCATAAAAACATTCATATGGCGTCTTATCCTTGCTGATTCGGTTGGGTATCCGGTTCAGAGTCCAAGCTGACCACATGAAAGCGTAGCCCCAGAATTGCTTGCTGAGACGGCTATCGTAGAGTATGCTTCTCCCCATATCTGCAACAGTCCGATTGTACCTTTTGGCAGCCCCATTTTGGAAGTGGTGGTATGGAAGCGATCTCTTGGCTAGTATCCCTTTATCCGAGAGGAACTTGGCGAACACCTTAGAATCAAATTCACCACCGTTGTCTGACCTCATAATTTTCAGGCGTGATCCGGTCTGGGTTTCCCAACGAGTTGTTGTCTCCATGATCGATTCTGCTGCCTCAGCCTTAGTCTTAAGAATCTTCACCTCACTGTATGACGTGAAAACGTCTCGGATTGTGAGCGCGTATTTACCACCTGTCATAGTAGGGGGATTGAAAGGGCCCATCAGATCAACACATACAACCAATAGTTGTTCCAAACACCTGTTTGTAGGACCCAGTACTGATTTGCGAGTTGCCTTACATATAGAGCAAACTGGAAATTTTATAGACCCGCTTGGCATCTTGGTAGGTAGACCGTAACCCAGCTGCAGTTTCACTAGTCGTCTAATTTTCCTCAGGCTAGCGTGGCCAAATAAACGGTGCCAGAAGAGGAGGATCTTTTCATCGGGCGACAAGTCCTCAGTCTTCCAAGTAAACTCGCTGTGCTCAATTAAGTTTGGGGATTTGAAAATGGATTGCAGATTGATGTCATGTTGAGGAAAAGTATTACATCTGGGTAGACTATTTTCAAGAGACAAATTGAAACTCCTGATCGGTCGCGGAAGTGGCCAAGTGTTGTTCCATGGGTCAAAAGTGCTACGGAGGAGGAGTTGTCCGGTGCTGCTCAAGATATCAATTGAATCTAGGTTCCCGTTGACACGGAAGTAACCGTTAGCCTTCTTGATAGCTGCCATGGACAAGAGGGTTGATCTTGCTTGCTCACAGAAGTACACCTTCCTAATTGCGATGGTTGTTCCGTTCATCCCGGCAAATTTCAAGGTACCCGTGCCTGTAATGTAGTCACATGATGTGTCAGTCTCCACACGGACGGCAATCGGTTGATCCAGCTCGGAAAAGTCATGTAGGGCGTACCTGTCACCCGTGACATTGTCTGATGCGCCTGAGTCCCAAATGACCTCCTGGCCTTTGTGATCCAAGGCTAATTCCCTAAGATCAAAGCGCATGCCTGAGGGTTCGGCTGATATGTCCTCGGATTCAAAAACATATTCATTTTCCTCCTTGGCAAAGACATTCAGGTCAATCATCTTGACATCCACTTGCTTGGCTGGAGCCTTGGATTGGTCACGAGGAGGGCGCGAGGACGTGGAGGGAGCGGACGCATCGGGTTGTAATGGACGAATGTAGGGTAATTTGTTGAAGTTGTACGTCACTGAGCAAGGCGGAAAAGGGTGAGATTTCGGCTGCGAGAGGGGCGGCTTGTACATCTGAGGATTTCCATGTTTCTTTGCTGGGCAGTCCGGGGCAATGTGACCGGGTTTCTTGCAGATGTAGCATTTGGGAATCTTGCTAATGGCCATAGCCTCAACTGTCTGAGTATCGTTCTCATCGGGAATCACGGGGTTGTTGGTGTTCTTCAGGTCTAGGCGTAGGGAGGTGGTTTCAGCTAGTCTAGAGTCATCCAAGAGTGACTGTTCAGTCCAGGTCAAATCTAGGAGTCAAAGTAGATCCTTCAGGGAGGGCGTCTGGCATTTGTGTGTCTCCATGAATATCTCTACCTTCTGGTCGAAGGCCGAGCAATGATGATCCCGGAGATTCGCCTGTAAGATGAGGCCCATCATCTCATCAAGGGTCAACAAAACCTCAACTTCATCAAACGCCCTAGCGGTCTCGTTGAAGGCCGCCAGGATGCCAGCAGTGGTGTTGTGTTTGCTGGGGTCCACCGAGATGAAATCGCGCCAGGCTTTTAGTTGCGCGGCTCTGTTGACCAACCTGAACTTGGCGACGATGTGGGCGAAAATGGCTGCCGACGATCCTAGAGACAGAAGATCGTAGATGAGATCCAGATGTACCGACGAATTCAGAATTCCTTGTCCAATCTTCTCATCAGTGCTATCGACAATGGTGCCTTTGTCAGGGGTAAAGAAATTCGGATCACCGAATTGTTCCATGCTGTGCATGCATAGCATGCGCTTCCATCTGGTTTCAGGATGTCTTCGTCTGCCATCCTCTTGGCGACCGCGGCTACGGTACTTGCTATGCGTGTCTGTTCCTCCAGATTGGCGCGGCGTTGTAATCGCTCTTCATCCCGGTCTCTTCTGGCTTGATCGGCGTCGCGCTGCGCTTTCATCTCAGTCAGGAGTTGGAGGGTGGGATTTGGCTCGAGATGCGGTGGTGGATCTTGTCTGCGCCAATGGGTGGATGATGAAGCTGCTGTGGGCTTGTCGGCAATCCTTGGTTGAAAAACAGTTTCTTCCGGGGTTTCCAACCGAGCTGTCTCCTTGCCTTTGAACGACGCTGTTCGAGATCCACCTCCATGTGTGGTGAGGCCGGTGATGGTACGACCAACTTTTCGACGAAGGGCATCGGTTGCATCCGAGGTCCGCTGTTTCTCGATCGCGTCACGCAGTGAATTGCTGCCAGGTGTAAGGCAACCGGTCTTGGGAAGGGTGCTTATAGGTTTACGATAGGCTGATTGTTGCGGCTTATATTCTGGTCTGTGATCGTCGGACATGATGTTGTGTTGGGTGGGTGGATTGGGAAAAGATGGGGTAGAAGGGAAAGGTTTGGGAAAAAAAATGATCGCCATCGGTCGGCGCAGGTGATCTCAGGCAGAATCGGCTGTCTCAGAGTATTTCTCCAGGCCACTAAGGTTCTCAACCTAGTCCGTTGATTATTCAGTATGTTTGGTTACGGGTGATCAGTCCGATCTCAACGTTAGCTATAACGTTCACCAGAACTTTCTGATTTAATTGCAGGAGTCAGAAGCTAAAGCTTAGTGTGTCTATTGATTTACGCTGATATAAACAGTCTACACTGAGTCGGAATCGGTCGAATATTGAGGTGGGAGCGGTTGAGAAGGAAAAGGGAGAGCAGAGAAAGAGAGGAAGAAAAAAAAATTCAATTGGATCGGCGGAATGTATAATACTCGCCGTCAGACTACAGTGGGGGGTTGATAAGTGCACGCCAACCCCCATGGCGCACGCCAATCTGCACGCCAAGCGCAGGTTGACGTGCGCCCCTGCACGCCAATCTGCTGCAGG